GAATTATCAGAAATATATAATTTTGCACGCAATATCTTTCATACTTTATTCATTCGATTTTTTATAATAATAACAATATTGAAACTATTACAAATACATATTTTAATTTAATATATTTTAATTTTTGTTTACTATTCAGACTTTCATATATTATTTATTATCAAATATTTACTTTTGCACATAAATATTTAAGTTAATCAAGATAAAGAATCAACAACTGCTTGGAAATGCAACAAGTTTAATTATTTCATAAGCTAGTCTTAATTCAGTTTAAATACAAACAAGCAAATCCCTTTTAATAAGTGTTGTAAAATGCAATTAGACAAGTTGACAGCAATAAAACTTCTATAAAGAATCCGCATTAAATAAACAAGCAAATAGTCGTGTAAAAACTTTACTACTTTAGTCCTTCACTTGGCAAGGGAAGTGTTTGCCTTTGCGCTCTTCCTGAAAGCAAAGAGAAGCACTTAGGCGCTTACAATGTTAAGAGTAAGACAGAGAGGGCGCCATTGAGACTGAGTGAGTCGTTTCTCTTTACCCAAATGTTTGTGTATGAAGAGAAACGGAAACGAGTTAATATATAAATTATTTGCACACTATTTAATTTGTTGCTCGCTGAGCACTTATCGACAATTTGACTAAGTACTACTCCCATTTCGGTCTAGCCATAAGCCGAAAAGCTGCAACATTTGCCAAAACCGCAAAACCACCGACAATTGGACTGGACTGGCATATCAAATTCGCTTCCAGCCGGCACTTTACATTTTAATACCGACCAATCCCTGCCCAACGCCCACACATGTTTTTGTTTAGCAATGCAGTGCTATTTCGTTGATTATATTAATTGTGCAGCACCTCGCAAGTCGCAAAGGAATTGTATAAATCATATCTGAATCTAGCTGCACAATAAACATAATTGAGCTTAACGCACATTGTTCAAGCTTTGTAGAAATATTTCGCATTCGATTTGTCTGCGGTTGACACATGGCAAATTGTGTGTGGCTCAAAGCTCAAATGGCGAATTGTGTTTATCTAAATTTTGTGCATATTACACTAAATAAATTTATCAGTTAAATAAATGAGGCAAATTTCTGTAAAGTAAATAATGTCCTTGGAAATATTCAGAAATGCGCAATTGATTTAAAACAAAATTAATTAGATATTTTTAAGGATTTTTTTTTTACAGAGTAAAAATAGAGTAAATTTTGTTCAAATGTTAAAAAAAAATACGCTGAATATTAAATAATTAATTTTACATTAAACAAATCTTATCTACTTTCTTATATTTCAAATTACAAATATTTTAAGGATTTTTTTTTTACTTTTTTAAAGAGTTTTTTAATCATTTAAATAACATGACTTGGCCTAGTTTAATTAAGAGGAATGTGGAGAATCTATTATTTTTAAATAAATCTAACAAATTAATAATCGATCATCATATTTTTTTTCAAGCATCTACTCCAAAAGCTTTTATACATGAAAATAAGAAGCTATTTATGTATAAAAATTTCACAAAAGCAAATTATAAGTAAGCTACAAAATATTTATGCTGATGATATAAAATCATGCCAGGTAATATTCCACAGTAGTTCTACATCAAAAAGCAAATATTAAATCTGTAGTCAACATGCTAGATAGATTAGCTAATAATAATTTTTAACATATTTGCTCATTCCTACGGCAATTAGATAATAATATAATTTAATAATAATACAGTCGAGTCTCAAAATTTGTTAAAAATATTTGGAACCCCGTTAAATCGAAAATCCCCTTAAAAAAACATNAAATTTTATTTTCTATGACTGCCAAAAAAAAATTTTGAATAATGTAGTTTGTTAGATTTCTGTAAATAGTGTTTGTAAATATAACTATAACTATGGCTTTGAATTTAAAGATTCAAGGCCAGATTTGCCATCGCATTGGATCATTGCAACCTATTGAAGATGCACAGCAAAAATTCTTGCAAATATACTTCATGGGCAATATGGAAGAACAACTTGACCGGCGTCAAGAAATGAACACAGCTATGAAAAGAGCAATTCTCCATGATTTGCATGCTTAGAAATTTAAACCAACCAAAACTGTGCAATGGAACGCGTTTGGTGATAAGAAAACTGATGAGCAATGTGATTCACGCGTTGATACTCAAAGGAAAATTTAAAGATGAGGAAGTTCTTATTCCTAGGATTCCGATGAGCTCAACAGATATGCCCTTTGAATTTAAACGAATTCAATTCCCGCTTCGTCTTGCCTTCGCCATGACGATCAACAAGTCACAGGGCCAATCTTTGACTATTTGTGGCCTCAATCTAGAAAATGCGTGTTTTTCTCATGGTCAATTGTACGTGGCATGCTCACGTGTTGGCAAACGATCCGCATTATTTGTTCTTGCACCCGACCAAAAAACGAAGAATGTCGTTTACAACAAGGTGCTTGAATGAAAATCCGATTAATAAATTTATCAGTGTATCCCAGCCTGAACAACATAGCTTTCAACAATTTTTTACCTAGAAATAATATAGAGGGCAATGCAACGTTTGCCGGGCCAGCTAGTATATTATACAATTCCTATGCCTTACCTTATTTATTTTCACTATTGTCATGCATAAAAAAGACATAATTTTTCTTGACAAATAAAAATTGTTTATATATATAGAAATAGGGATTAAATTTATAAAGTATTGATCCATTCCAGTTTCAAATTGTGATTTAGCCTTGTCTTGGCTAGTAAATTAAATTAAATTTGGTTAGCGTTATTATTCATTACCGAAAAGATCTAGCGCTACTTATGAAGATAAGGACTATTAATATTCGGATGCAATGTTTTGAATTTCTCTAAAAATTTGATACTGAGCAATTCCTCAAACTGTGATTCCGTATAGTCTGCTTCTTGGTTAATTAAATTTGGTTAGTCTATGTTATTACTGAATTTTTAATAGTATAAGGCCCAAAGATATCATTCTACAAACACTGCTCTGGGCCACTGACCACAACTAAGAACTCTGTTGTAAGCGCTATAGAGCAAATACCCAACAAGAGATTTGGAAACGGAACGAGAGAAAGAGAGAGTGGGTAGAGGGGAGAGAGGAAGGCAGTGAGCGACAGTGTTAAATGGAGCTTGTAAAAGGGCACTAGCTTAAAATCCCGCAGCACATACTACTCTAATAATCATCGCCTGAAGCAGCTGGGGACGAGGTGTAAATACCCTAGATTATGCTGGCTGCAATTGCTACTGGTTGTGGGCAAACAGAATGCCTGGGCCAGAGCCACATTTGAGCAGTGCTACTCTTCTTATTTATATATATACATATATAAATGTGTGTTTTTTTTGTTGGCAGAGTTTCTTCAACAGGCCAGCCGAAACGAGCTGTGCAAATATTTGCCAAGCATTTAGAGGCCATCGGGTGGTTGAGGTGGTTCGGGTGGCTCGGGCTGTAGAGCTCCTATCGCCAGTGTTTGCTGAGTGTAACACGCTGTTTGCTTGTATTCCATCCAACACTCGAGACGTTGATTGCGCACGCCAGCTGACTCCGGCTGGGCAGAGACTAGTTAATTTGATCGCCTCTCGCGCTCATGGAGCAGTTTCCTTAAGACTTTTGAAACGTAATACGACCGAGTCGCCGGAGATTTATGAGGCGCACTCGGCCGATGCAGTTGGTTGGTTACCGTAATATTGTACTTGTATTCAGTTTTCACTTTTCGCAATGGCCAATCACAGGTGCCGATACCTGTTCGAGTGAATGGATAAACACACTGTGGACAGCCAGGCGACGTTGTCTGGCTTTGATTTACATCATATAATGCGCATTTGTCTCGTGTTTAACAGACTTAATGTCTGTTTATAAGCTTTGCCAGAGAGCTCGCCCCTTACCCCGCACACGCCGCGCGATGCCATCGAGAATCTCAGTGACTCTGGTTTTCTTGTTGCGCTATGAAATATAACATATATGCTATGTTTATAACAATCTGATTTATTGCATTTTGATAACCTCACGGCCCCATCTCTCACTCCGCTGCAGCCGAGGCAGCCTAGGCAGCCAGTCGAGCGGAACTGCTCCGAGTGACTGTGCCAAATGCTAGCAATATTTGCGACCATAATTTATGGTCCGCTCTTATGGTTCAGATTTATAGGGGCGTACCTCTATATATGCGACTACTTGTGTATGGGTGAATGAATGCTTTTAATGATTTTATTTGCCAGAGCTTGAAGGGCGGCGTGAAAGCCAGAAGAGTGATAACTAGAGGAGAGAAGAAAATCAGGGGAAGAGAGTTGAAAGATGAGGTGAGTGGGTGGAGAAAAAGAATGATAGCAGAGAGAGTGGATAGAAGAAGATAGAGAAAATTATGGAAGCATAGAAGAGTCACTGAAAGAAAAGTGAACAAAAAGAAATTAATAAATGCAAATGGTAAAAGATCACAGAAGGAATCAGGAAGAGAGAAGAAGGAGAAACAAATACAAAAAGTGGGAAGAGAGACGAAAGAAGAAAGGAGAGAGAGTGAAAGTGAAAGTGAAAGAAGAATTTAGAAAAACCAGAAACAAAGTAAAAATTGAAGAAAATAAAGAAATGGGAAGAAAAAATCATGATGGTAGAAAAGAGAAAGGAGAACGGGAAACAAGATGAGACAAAGCTGAAAAGAACCAAAGAGAAAATCGTAGAGAGATGAAGCAAATAGAGAGAGAAGAGAAAAGAAGACAACAGAATAGAAGAAGAAATAAGTAGAGAGAAGAGGCCAGAAAAGGGGAAATACCAAAAGAAAAGATAAGAATGAAAAGGAATCTCAGTAGCGAGAAAAATTAGAAGTGATGAAATTTTGATGGCAGAAAAAATGCTTAATTGAAGAGATTAGAAGAAACGGAAAACAAGATACGTGAGCAAAAGAGAAGAAATGACTGTAGAAGATTGTAATTAAATATATTACGCTCACGTTTCTTAGAAGTATCGTAGTTCATCTCACTTATCTAACAGCATTCCATCTGTCAGAAAGGAATTTAAATTATTAAATTTATTATTTAATTTAAACAGAAGTTGCTCACTGAACTAATCATACTTGTTCTAATTCATTTATTTATTTATTTTTNGAAAACCGAAGCAAATTCAACGTTCAAAAGCAGCTCATTTGCATGCAATTATTTGACGTTATGACAAAAGCTACAACGCCCAATCCTCAACCCCCAACTTTCCGCCACCCCTAAACAAAAGAAGAAAAAAAACGTAACTGAAAGCTAAAAATGCGACATGTACTCGAATTTCAATATTGATGCCCTGTAATTTGCTACAAAAATCAGCATCAATGGACATTTCATCAGCACAAAGCAGCAACTAAAGCAGCAAAAAAAAAAAAAAAAAAAAAAAAAAAAAAAGTAAGGAAAAATAGGAAAATGGAAAAACCTTTTGGAAAAAATTCAAGCACATAAATGACAAATGCACGCAGAACTCGAACTCTAAAGGAGAGAACCCAGCCGAGGAGCTCGAGCAAAAAAATGCTAAATGAAATGAAATGAAATTACGCTATGCTCCACAGCTCTTGCTGTCGTCCTCACTCGCCGCTCGCGCTCTCGTTCTCCCCCCCGGTCTGCTCTCTCGCTCACTCAGTCGCGCTCTATGTGCATGCAAATGCTGAAATTTTAAACCCTTGAATGTGGCCATTGTCTTTGATAGGTCTGTGCAGCGCGCTTCCTGGGAACCTGCTGCCCATGTTTACCAACCCCTCCCACATCTTTGTCGACCCGCCCTCCCCTCTCCCCCACAGCCACTGCCCATTTGCCAACTGGGTTGTAAGTAAGCGCTTTTAACCATATTTTATTTTTTATTATTATTTTTTTTTTGTGTTAATTTTTTGTTAGATCGGAATTCCCCAGAATCTGCAGCAATTATTCATGGACCAGATTAACTGATCAAGAGTATTCAGAGTGTCCGTTCTGCTGTTTCATTTGGGGTCTTTAGGACGGTTATCAGAGCATTCTTCAGCCTTGCGGCACGTGTGGAAACGCTGTGCAGATTGCGTCAAGTGTCGCTTAGTCGAGCTCGTCTGCTGCGCCAAAATTCAGTTCGCCAAAAAACTTGAGCAAATATTTTGAACTGACAAATGAAAGAGTCAACACACGTTTTCCTTAGACAGCGTCTACGTTGGGCAAATAAACAGAGAATTCGGCTTCATTCTGTTTGCTCGAAAAGATTCAAGCGCTGCTCATGAACTACTTGAGAATCATTGGCAAATATTTATGCTAAGCAGAGTGCACTCAGCTCACCTCGATCCGCGATCCTCGCAAAGAATTTCAGATTTTTGCGTATTTGTCAGCACTGGCTGGCCAACATTTAAACAATGAGCACGTGAATGAAATGTGCCCAGCTAATTAACGGGCAGACCCAAGAAAATAAAATCAAATCATATTCAAGCACTCAGCCAGGCAGCCGTCCGTTCAAGCGGCAAGGCGGCGACCCACTCGAAATGGTCTTGTCAAATTTGAAAAGCAACATTATTTTGACACATTCACCAAGACAGAGATCGAGACAGGGAGACCAGAAAGAGGGAGAGAGAGAAAAACTAGCTAGAGAGAACCGCAGTGACGTGACTTTGGCAAAAAGCAAAGCAAATTGTGTTAATCAACGCGAGGGCAGCGCTCACAAGCTACGTTTGCATGGCTGTCAATCAAGGAGGAGGCGGGTCGACGGCGTGACCATAAACATGAACTGTATACCGTGAACCGATCCCATGGAGCGTCGCTAAGCGGGGGTTAAACTGCCGTTGATAATGACAGCTGAATAATTTTGATGCGGCGCGACATGGAACATCATCAAAACAATTTCACGCTACACTTGCAGCCAACACAGAACTGCACAGCTATAGATACATTCGCCCACAGATACGCAGAGAGAGTGCGTGTGTGTGTGTGTGTGTGTGGGGCTGGCGTCGCATAAATTAAATGTAATGTGACATTTTTACAAAATGCGCTCATTTCTCAACATATCCGGCTGAAAGAAAAGCCGAAGCAGACAACAGAAAATACAAAGGAAATCAAGCAAGAAATATCGAACTGGGAATACTCTCTATGCTGGGACAGGCACACATTGAGGATTCTTGATTGTTGAATATATACGTATTTATTTATATTTGTTAATAATAATTTGTATTACGTTTTAGTCATGTGTATTCAAAATAATAACTAATTCCAGAGATAAAACTGGGGAAGAGTTAGCTTAGATGCAACCTGATAAGGTAGAAAATATAATGTGATAAATAAAAAAAT